TGTGATAAGGTCCTTAGTCTTAGAGACAGCAATGACAAATCCGCTCAGAACAAATCTTGCTAAGAAAACATCTTAGGGTTTTCCTTAGTTGGAAATGTTTTAAAGGCAAAAACAATGAAAGCAAGCCAAGCGCATAGTACAGTTGGACTGGTGGAGTTGTGGTCACTGTGCCACCAGCCAATGGAAGCCCTACTGATGCCTCTTGTCACATCCACAGTTCTTTCCCTAATAAGATGGTGGCAGCAGCCATTTGTACTTCTTGTCCTTCTCCCTCTCCTGGGCACTAAGCTATCATTCTGTAAGAAAAACTCAGGTACCCTCCCCCCTACCATGTTCTCCATCCAGCATGGAAATGGCCAGTATTGTAGATGTAGGACTTGTAGTTCAATACATGGAGGGGGGAGTTGTGGGAAGCTGCCCTATTGAAATATTTACCAGCTTCTTTTGGATTTTCAGAGAAGTAGGTGTGGGGAATATTATTTATTTATTTATTTATTTATTTACATTTGCAAGTGTCTGGCATTTTTCTATCCACATATTTCCATGTCCTTTCTGAAGATGAGGGAAAATGCAGAGCTTGGAAGTAATTTCTGACAAATAACAAGTTATTTGTAATTAATATCTTCTTTTTTGCAATAATCTAAGCCATAACTAAGTGACATTTTGATTTTAATTGAATGAGAAATTATTTCACCCCTTTTGCAATGCTGTTTCTAGTTCATTTTTTTCTAGTTACAGGTGCTGGCTCATTAGTTATGCATGGCTGTACTAAAGATCAGTAACCTGAAGCATTCTTGATAGCTTTCTAAAAGTAACTATTTAAATTACATTAATATTTGAATAATAAGGAATTAATTACCTTTTGGGGCCTCAAACATGATCACTTTAACTAATAATTTAAATTTAAAGCAATTTTCAGAGCTCTGAGGCAATGTATATTCTGTCCCCATTTTGGGATAGTACACATCTTCCACAGTGGGCGTTGGCATTTCATATACTTTTGGTTAAAATTGCTAAATGGGGAAAAGTGAATCATATGTAGGAAACCTGGGACATAGCTGCAGTTGGATTGGTGGAGATGTGGCCCTTGGGTCTCCGGCAAATGAAGGATCCACTGTATTGGGAATTTGCAGTTTGGTAAAGCCTAAATACTCTAAAAGCACCAGATCCTGTCTGATCTTGGCAGCTAAGCAGGGTCAGCCTTGTTTAGTACTTGAATGGGAGACCACCAAGAAAACATACCAAGTACTGTAGGCTGTACCTCAGGAAGGAACTGGTAAAAGTACTTCTGAGAATTCCTTGCCAAAGAAACCCTATGAAATTCATGGGCTTGCCATAAGTCAGTGATTCACAGCCTTTGGGCCTCTATTTGTTTTGGACTTCAGATCCCAGAAGCTCCAGCCATCTTGGCCAACCATCAGGAATTATGGGAGCTAAAGTCCAAAACATCTGTAGGACCACTGTCATAAGTCAACTGGTGACTTGAAGGCACATACATACTACAGAAGCTCTCTGGTTGAAAAATCTAAATACAAACCCCTGAACTACAAACCACATGATACCATAGAATGGAATAATGGCAGTTCAAGTGGAATCATAACACTATAACAGTGTGTTGTGAAGGGGCCCACTGCCAGGGTCAAGTTATCAGCAGCTGCTAAAGAGAGGAAGAAGTTGTGCCAGTGTCATTCAAGGAACTAAGTGAAAAGTCAGTCTCCAGGAATGAAGCCAAGAGTCAGAGCTGAACAATACACCAAAACACACTAGAGGCAGAAAAAGCATTATTGCTCAGGTTGTTATTGTTATTTCTTACCCATCTCTCTCTCTTGGATCATGCCAAGCAGGAAATCCTTCGTAGGTGGGCCAACCAGAGAGGACATAATCTGAGCATCAAAAGCCTGAGATTTTTGTATTTTTAAAAAATTATTTTTAATTATTTTTATTCAATACATAGATTTTAATACATAAAATACTATAAAAGAAAAAAAATTAAAAACATGCCTTTACAAAAGAAAAAAAAACAATCCCAATACAAAGACAAGAGAAATGCAGCAATAGAGAAAGAAAAAAATGAATTCTACTTAGAGTTGTATAAAGATGATGAACTTGTAATTTAAAAAGTGTATAAATGGCTTTTGAAATTATAGACAGAAGATGAACCTGTAAACGAGTATATCATAAGGTGAGCACAAATACTAGGCATACTCTTCAAATTGATGTATTGGAAAAATTATGTAGTATTATGTAGTAATTTAAAAGAAAATTTGTATAATTTGTAAAAGATGATGTAAAGATGGAACATAACTCCAAACAAGCTGCTGAAATATTTCAAACAGTGTTTCAATCCAGTGACATTGGGGATAACAAGATAAGGAAGGCAGGGTACATAGGAAGGCAAAAAGTTATTGGTCTTAAGATTTATTTGTTATTTCAAAAATCTTAAAGGTTCATTTTCCAATGGTACCAGAAAAGGATTTTCTGGGCACTATAGCCTGGCTGATCTCAGAGATCTGCTGACAGAGCGATCCAATGGCAGAACTGGTCTTCTGGCTAAAATCTGTTGGCAGAAAAGCCCCAAAAAGATGGGAAAGATCAGGCCTGTGTGAATTTAAGTTACACCAGATCTAAATGTCTTCCAGTTAAAAGATGCAGTCATCTCTGGAACACAGTTTGGCTATGACAAAAGTAGTCTTCAGTAATGTCCAACATCCCTGGACAAAGAGGGGTTTGAATTCAGTAGAGCTTTAGTTGGCTTAGTGTTGTTCTTATTCCTTTCCATAAAAAGTAAGGAAAAGATGGGCAAAATTATGAAGGAGCAACATAAAGCTTCAGCATAAAGCTTGGTAAACAAATGGTAGCATTCTGAAGCTTTTGTTCAGATTCTACCAGTCATATTGTGGACCCCAGAAATTTCACTGGACAATCCAAGGTATCATCACATTGAAAACAATGAATTAATTCCTTAGCACATGAATACTGATGGATCATTTGCACCAAGAAAGAGAAAGCCACTCAGTTTGAATGCACAAGACTGGTAACAACTTTTTTTGCACAATAACAGCATATAATAATAATAATAATATAATTTATTTATATTTCCCGCCTCTCCCTACAGATCGAGGCGGGAGTACAAGGATAAAATGTACAAAATGTACAGTAATACAATCAATAAAGAAAGAAAACATAACAATAAAACCACAACAGTAATAAAAAGAACAGTAGTAAACAATAAACCCAGCAGTAAAAACAATAAAATAACAGCAATAATTAAAACAATAATAAAATTGCAATACAAGTCTATGCCACAAGTGATACAATCTTTTTTCACCTGGGAGGTCCTTATAAGATGGTCATATCTAATTAGTTAGGGAGGTCAGGTGGATAGGCCCGCTGGAAAAGCTCCGTCTTAAGTGCCTTCTTAAAGGCCTCTAGTGTGGAAATAAGATGAATCTCCTCCGGCAGGCCATTCCATAACTTGGGGGGCCGCAGCCGTGAATGATCTTTGGGAAGTAGATATTAATTTAGTTTTACAGTAGTTTAGTAAATTCTTCCCTGATGTTCTGAGGGTGTGGGACGGATTGTGTGGGGAGAGGCGTTCCTTCAAGTAACTTGGAGCCAAGCCATGTAGGGCTTTATTGGTGATGACCAACACTTTGTATTGCGCCCGGAAGCTAATCGGCAGCCAGTGAAGAGCTTTTAATACTGGTGTAATGTGGTCCGCTCTAGATGTTCCGGTGACCAGTCTGGTTGCCACATTTCGGACCAGTTGAAGCTTCCGAACTTGATATAAAGATAGCCCCATGTAGAGCACATTACAGAAGTCCAAACGAGAGATTACCAGGGCAAGTACTACTGCTTCAAGGTCCCTTCGGTCCAGGTAGGGTCGCAGTTGGCGAATCGGCCAAAGCTGATTCCAAGCACTCCTGGCCATCACATCTACTTGAGATGACAACTGCAGGGATGAGTCCAGGAGTACTCCCAAACTGCGTACTTTGTCCTTTAGTGGAAGTGTGACCCCATCCAGGAATGGATGACAAAACTCCCTTCCCGGACCGGGGGTACCTATCGCTAGTACCTCTGTTTTCTCTGGATTCAGCTTGAGTTTGTTTTCCCTCATCCAGCCCATTACCGACCCAAGGCAGGCATCCAGAGGAGAGACGCCATCCTTAGTCACCGCAGCAGTCAGAGACATAGGGAAATAGAGTTGGGTGTCATCAGCATATTGATAACCCCGCGCACCATATCTCCAGATGATCTCTCCCAGCGGCTTCATGTAAATGTTAAACAGCATGGGGGGACAGTATGGCACCCTGCGGGATGCCAGATGTCAGGTCCCTTTCAGAGGAGCAACTGTCCCCCAGCCTCACCATCTGGGATCTGCCTGAGAGGTAGGACCAGAGCCACTGGAGCACAGTGTCCCCAATACCTAACTCCCTCAGGCGTCCCAGAAGGATACTATGGTCTATGGTATCGAATGCCGCTGAGATGTCCAAGAGCACCAACAGGGTCACACTTCCCCTGTCAATACCCAGATGAAGGTCATCAACTAAGGCAACCATGGCAGTCTCAACTCTGTATCCCGCCCTGAAGCCATTTTGAAATGGGTCCAGATAATCGGCTTCATCCAAGACTGCCTGGAGTTGGAAGGCGACTGCCCTCTCGATCACCTTGCCCAGAAATGGTAATAAAGAGACTGGTCTATAGTTGGTTCTTACCAGGGGGTCAAGAGAGGGCTTTTTCAGGAGTGGTTTAACTACTGCTCGTTTTAAGCTTGGTGGAAATTTGCCCTCCC